GTAACATAAATCACACTTGCCACTGCAGAGCGCATTGATCCAAGAAAGTGTAGACCCATTGGCCAAAAATCTATGGACTTGTAAAAGAGTAAGATTCCCTTTGTCAATATACGCATCGCCACTTGGCTCTAGCATCGTCACTTCGAAGTGTGTAGTACATTTGTCGGTTAACTTAGATGACCGTGTTGTCTTCTCATACCCTACATACATGTGCTTGTTTGTAATATCCGACCCATTGAGATAACTCGTTTGGCCACACTCAGCACCAACATCCACGAGTTGGGAGCTGTTGACGGGTTGTGGACAACTAATAAAATTCATCTTCCGTGTAGGAAGGAGATTGAATCCCCCTTCTGTTGGCACGACGAACGGCGAGCTATAAGCAACATAATTTCCAAACCTTATCACCCCTAGCGTCGCCACATAATTACTAAAGTAGTTTGGGAAAGAGCAGATGTCGTGGTTTTGTGATATGGAGGGATGGATTAGGCGGATAGTGTGGTTGAGATAGTTGATTTCTTGCACAAGGTATTTGTGAGATTCCAAATATACCAACACGGTCGTGTTATCTTGGCAGTCGAGTTCATAGTGGGGATCGCCACAGTGTGGTGGGTCGTTTTTCAGTCTGAAAGGGTAGCTAATATTAGAAATATTGCCGCATGAAGAAGGCGGGCAATTATGATCAGGATTAATGGTATTCTGACCTGTGCAAGTTTGAAGCGTGATGAAGCATGAAACAATGGTTTTGAGGAGCAAAGGGTATTCGTGTCTCAGCATGGTTTAGGTTGTTTTGCAGGGAAAAACAAGCTAGCTATATATTTCTGATTCTCATTTGGGATTGATGACGTGTGTCACGTGTTAAATGGGACGAATGGGAAAAGAAATCAGCCATGACTAAAAAGTCAAATAACAAAATATATAACATGAAAACATAAAAGCGAAATTGTCGGTTGAATACACGTCGAAAACAATCTCCTCAGCGATCCAAGAACTCGCGACGTGGGAGGGAACCTTCCCTTGTCCCACGAGTTCCCGGTCCAGGCCAGCGACCTGCTGCAAACTCGTACTGTACACACTCGCCCTGCGAATTTTCTTGCCGACCACGGGAGTCCCTTGCTCGCCCTGCGACTTAAGTCTATTTATATGCCACATATGTAAAATTAGACCCAAATCATTGTGGGTGTTCTAAATGACATGCACAACCCAAGTAAAAAAACTCAAAAGCTATTCAATACAAAAATAAAATACTAGGTCTAGCATACATGACAACCAATAAAAATGCTCTAATATATTTCATTTATTAAAAAATAAAATAAATAAGAATTAAATGATGAGTGCTAAAATAGACCCAAATGTGGACTAGGTATTTTTTTTTATTGACACATAAGCAAGACTAGGTCCACTTTTTTTTTTTTTTGGTACAGGGACCTTCCGGTTTTCGAATCCAGGGAAACCGACTAATCCAGAATCGAGCTGGGTAGGACTACAAGGGCGGCAAAGCTCTCCCTCAAGAGTTTTTAACACTGTTGCATTCCCAAGGCTCGAACACGAGACCACTGGTTAAGCTGGAAGAGTGAGAAACACTTTTTTATAAACTAGGTTTATTTCTTACATAGCATGTAATTTTTTTCTAAGAGACCCAAAGCATTGTGGGTGCTCTAAGTTTCGCCCTGCCAAGCCAAGCCGCATCTCACGCCCTACGGATTTCCTTGCTGACCCCGTGAGTTTTCTTATTAAATATTTATTTTTCAGTGTGTGTGTTTTGGCTATGCATATAAATACATTTAGTCAAATTTTGATAAATAATCCTCATTAGTACAACGTCCGTGTATTACACGGGTGTTTGCTAATTTTTTTAAAATTAATGAGAAAAAGTAGTTGAAAATTTAAATACATGTTATAAGAATATAGATATTATTATATATTTAGTATGACACTTTTTATTTGTGCGACTTACTTGTGTTATATTACAATAATTTTTTAACTTACAACATATAACTACATTAAACATAAATATATGAATTGAGAAATAATTTTATTTTTCTAATGAATTTTAGTAAATATTATTATTTTTTATTATTATAAAGATAAATATAATTTATTTATTTCATATAATACAATATGGATGTCAAATTGAAGATCATCAAAAGATGATTAATTTGATATATTATATATGTAAAACCGATAAGAAATACAAAAGTTATCAACTTTTAAAATACATTTATAATTCAACAGCTATTTTTTTTTTGCCGAAACGATAGAAGAATTATATAAAAGGCGCACAAATGTGTGGAATTACAAACTGGAAGGCTAGACCGAAGTCCGCTTAGAATCGCTGGCAACGCCAGAATAAAACCTAACTCAAACAACGAACAATTAGAAACTGGCTCCCAACGGGAGAAAAACACAACTAAAACACAAACACAAAACTAAAAGCTCCCCTCAGAGAGATATGTTAGTCAGTGATATATTAGTCACCTAGTCTCACTATGTAAAATTACAAAAAATTAAAGGGTTATGGTAGTACGAGTGATATTAAAATAACTAAGTTAGCTAAATAATATAAATGGAATGTCCGAACCTAGAATATTAATTATTAATATGTCAATATTATTTGTCCAAACCTAATTACGAAGCATGATTCTTCGCCAAGTAGGATTCCGAAGCACCAGAAGCAGTCATGTAAGCTCAGCGCATTCGGAAATTATATATAGGGGATTCGCTAAGTTTTTTTTTTTAGTTTTTAGTTTTTCTAATAAAAATTGGTAATAAATATTAACTTTTTTTGGTACAAAAAAGGAGGACAAAACCTAGAAAAACGCTAAATCACTATCTGTCGGAGATGCGAAACCCCGGCAAGATCATGCTGCAACCAAACACCAGTTCCGATCGGCGGTCGATCAGTCTATGTAAACCCCTCGGGCCCTTAGCCGCAAAGGATGCAAGATAATCTGCAACACAATTTGTCTCACGGTAGCCATGCTGGAGCTCCATTGTCCATAAACGACTCAAGAGGTCCAGAATACCTCGCATAATGTTCCCATGCAGGCCAGTAGTATCTCCGAGCTGAACCATCGAGATAACACTTTGACTATCGACCTCAACCACAATGTGTCGGGCCCCGATATCCCATGCTAACAGCAACCCCTGGAATATCCCCCATAAATCGGCACTCACGATGGAGCAATATCCAATGTTCATCATAAATCCACTAACCCAGGTCCCGAGATGGTCTCGAATAACACACCCGGCACTAGCCATCCACGTGGAAGGATCGAAACTCCCGTCCATATTAATTTTGAGCAGCCCCTCCACCGGAAATGACCAAGCTAGACACCGCGATTCACGGAGGCCGCACTTCGCAAGCTTACGACCACCCCGCAGAACACTACCAGTTTGCCCGGTAAAGGACCTCACCTCTGCCACGCGTCTGTCCAATGGGGTCGTCGTCCCTTCGAAAATCCGGAGGTTGCGCCATCGCCACAGTAGTCACCTCCCAATCCTCTACTTCCTGTACCAAGCGCCCAGACAGGTTCTGAACAAACCAACGACGAAGGTCCATCGAGAAAAAGCCAGCCCACAGAGCTCGCGGCACCAACCGGCGCCATACCTCCGCTGCCTCCACACAATCACGAAGAGCATGCAACGTAGATTCCGACTCCCCCACGTAAACCGAACAGGTCGAAGATGGGGACATGTGCTGACTCCATCGCGTTTCATTCGTCAACAAGTTACCACGAACCGCCAACCATAGAAAATTATGAACTCGTTGAGGCCCCGACCATCGCCAAACAAGCTTCCATACACCATCAGACCCGCGACCTGTGGGCTGTCGTAAGGCCAAGTAAGCCGACTTCGTCAAGAATTTGTCGTCCGGCGACAAGCCCCAGAACATTACATCATCGCCGACATTCTCACGGGGCGGAAGAACGGCGGATATTCGCAAGAGAGCACTCGCTGGGAGCAACTCTTGAAAAAGTGGCCACTTCCACTGGCCCTCGTTGTCACAAAAATAGAAACCGGTAAGAAAAGAAGCATTTCGGGCACCGGGCCCGTCGCCGATTTGATTAGAGGATCGGCAAAATATAGCCATCTATCCCACCAAAACCGGGCCCGTTGGCCATTTCCAACGGACCACCTGCTCGCGGCAATCGTCTCCCACCACACATCTCGAATAGCCCGTAAAATAGTCGATCCCGTGGAAACTCATAATCGGCACCCATCTCCAAAGGCCGCAATTTATACTTCACACAAAACACCCTACACCAAATAGTATTCGGTTTAGTTAATAAGATCCAAGACATCTTCATTAAAAGAGTCTTATTCATAAGTCACTGGTCCTTCATCCCCAAACCACCCTCCGACTTCGGGCGACACACCTCGGACCAAGCCACTAAACTAACTTTACGAGACAAGGTCGTAGCACCCCAAATAAAATTTCTGCACTTCCTCTCCAAGCTGTCACAGACACCATGCGGCAATGCAACTGTCTGCATAGAGAAGTACGATAAGGCGCTCAAGATGGACTGTGCCAACTTAACCCGACCCACCATGGACAGCGCCGAGGCCTGCCATCCTGCGAGACGCTTCTCAGCTCGCTCCAAGAGGTCAATATAAGTCAGCTTGTTGACACGACTATGAATAATAGTCATTCCCAAGTATTTCCCCAAGTTATCCACGACCCAAAACCCCATGTTTTGGGCCATTAAGATGCGGTTTGGTTCCGCCACATTGGGAGAGAAGAAAACCTGCGTTTTAAGGTCACTCACTTTTAGGCCCGACGTTTCGCAAAAATTAAGAAGCGTAGACTGCAGACACGCTGCCTGGTCCATATCCGCCTCGATGAATAACAATAGATCATCAGCGAACATCAAATACGACATCGACACATTATCTCATCCCACCACAATTGGCTTCCACGCCCCCGAAGCAACTAAACCATCAATCATATGGGCCAGTTGTTCCATACATACGACAAATAAATAGGGTGAGATGGGGTCACCTTGATGAACATCTCGAGTCGGGATGAACTCCTCAGTAACCCCTCCCCCTCCCATTCCACTGCAGCTGCATAGTTGCCGAGGTAACACAGGCCATGACGGCTGAATATAAGCATCAGGAAGACCGGCTCGCTCTAAAGACTCCTGAATGAAATCCCAATGTAAGTAGGCATAAGCTTTTTCTAAGTCCACCTTCACCGCCATAACCCCCCGGTTATCCTTCATGCCTCCCATTGAGTGTATAAGCTCCTGAGCCAACATAATATTATCAGTAATGTGCCGGCCCAAAACAAAACTAGCTTGGGTCGGGTTAATGATCAAGGATAGCACCTTCTTCATCCGCTCTGCTAACACCTTCGTCACCAACTTTTAAACCACATTCAAGAGGCTAATAGGTCGGAATTGTCGCAAGCAGCTCGGGTCCTCCACTTCCGGAATCAGCACCAAAAGAGTCTTGTTTAGAGAGCCCAGGAGACGGCCCTCCCTCCAAATATCCCGGACCTGACCGCACAACGATGGGCCCACAAGATGCCACTGTTGCTAAAAGAAGAGAGCGTGTAGCCCGTAGAGCTCCGGAGCCTTCAGCGGTGCCATTTTCTTCAGCGCCAAGAAAATCTCAGCTTCCGATATGTCCCGGCCCAGTGGGTCCATTAAGCCGCGAAAAACCTCCGGAAACTCATCCAAAATGCGAAACTGAATAGACCTCTCAGCCCCATCACCGGCCTGGTAAATCCGTTTGAAGAAGGACACGACCATGGATTGCATAATACTCGGATC